TTGTTTGCTGGTGGGTTGGCCACCTCCACCTCCACCACCAAAGACTCCAAGTGTGCCAGGGCAGTTTCCATCGCCCGGGCCAGGTGTTCTTCCAGGTCCACGTAGGCAAGGAATCGAGGATCCACGTAGGAGATGGCTTCTGCCACTCCCAAGCCATCTACAAATCCATCAAAGGGGCGCCAGTCCACCTCTGGGTGTTCACTCACGCTAGCATCACCTTCAAGGTTGTGATTTCCATCCAGCATGAATACCCCGGGCTGCGTCAGCTCATGACCAGAATCCTTATCCCCTCGCTGCTACTCTCATTCTCACTGTACTGGAGCCAAGGGATTCCTCCTCCTTCCAGGGATGCCTGTTCCTCTTCTCGCGGAGATGGTTCTCAAACTTCTTCAAGATAATTACCGTTATCGCCACCAGCACCAGGGCCAGTGCTGGCGCCAGCACTCCCTCTCTGGCTGAGGTTCCCAATCCTCTTTTCCCAGCAGGGTCTCCCCGCTTTCCCCACTGGAGGACAGTGTTTGCTCTTGACTTCGATACTTGCGACGCAGAGCAGGATCCACTCTGTCACTGTCAGAGCCTCCATCACAGTATTTGTAGTCATCATCACTGTACATCCAGAAGTCAGGGTCGGCCATGGTTCGACGCTGTCTCGGCACCTTCTCTGGTTTCACTTGGTCATCCCTGGCTTTCTTCCTTTCTTTCTTTCTTTTTTTTTTTTGGAGAGGTTTTTTTCTATAGGGCGCGTGCGCTTGCCAGAAAGACAGAGACAGAGAGACAGAAAGCGAGAAATCACCCCCCAGGGGGAATAGCCACGCCGCAATCCCTTTTCCTCCCTTCTCCTCCCAGGATCTTGGGCACGCACGCACACACACCCGGCATGAGTTTCAAGCCACCAGGTCCGGGACGCGAACCGCGGTCGACTACATGGGAGTCCAGTGACATAACCATTACGCTAACTGCTGGTCCAGCCTGGCTCCCTTCCTGTCTTCAGAGAACTTTGGCTCAGAGTAGCCACATGAACTCTCACCTCTGCCTTTTCTGGATAGGCCACCCGAAAGGCCCTCTTCAGCACTGGCAGTACCCCTCCACCTGCAAGTACTGGAATGGTCCTCATTATCAACCTTCAGGCTGGTTCCGGAGCTCTCACTAGCATCCCACCTACGATGCGTGGTGGGAAATGGCGATCGACTGCTCTAGGTGGTGTGGCCGGGGGCTGGTCTGCGCACTGGGGCTTCAGATGTTGTCCTTCTCTGGCGTGCAGTCCTTTCCTGCTTTTGGATGGCCTGAAACCAGTCCTAACAGCCACACACTCTCCAGAGGAGCTGAGCTTTCAGACCTCGCACCGCCACGACCACCAGAGCTGCTGCTCCTGGGTCTCGGACGGGACAGCTCTTCAAACACCACCCTAAGCCATTACTTCTATTTTAAAATTTCCTCTGTGGAAGCCACTGCTTTTTGCAAAGTTCTGGAATACAACCCATTTAGACACTGTCCTTCCAGCCTGTCTCATCAGCGTGCAGTGGTGGGAACAGCCTGCCCGTGCAGTTGCAGGTCTGGCAGCTGCTGGTCAGAGCGACGGGAAGCATTTGCTGCCGTGAGCCCCGCCGGGCTCAGGCCTCACAGCCCAGGTCCAGAGAGGCACCTCAACCTGTGTGGCTGCTACTCGGCGACGTGGACAGGTGTGGGCAGAGATACCCAAAACTGCCTTTCGACTGTGCTGCAACATCTGAACACAAATCAGAGCCTCCCCCAACTTAGAAGCCCCAATTCCAGGAAAGTGGGACCTGGGTCTCTTCAGGGAAAGCCAGCACGCTCTGGCAGGAGGCCACTGAGGTGGGAGGGCACCTACAGGGACAGATGAAGCATTCGAAGTTCAAGCTGACCCTTCGTGGTCAAAAAGCCAAACAGGAGACGAACGGAGGGTTATTTTCCAGGGGGATAGAGACCACTGGGGCTTCGGTGCAGCAGGAGTTGTTGTGAAAGCCTGGGACAGACAAGGGCCTGCCGGCAGTGCTCCAGTATGACATAATCCCCGGGGCTCAAGGCCTGGGACAGACAAGGACCTCCGGCAGTGCTCCAGTATGACATAATCCCCAGGGCTCAAGGCCAGAAAGAGCAAAAAAGCAGAATAACTGACAACAAATGAGAAGGGCAAATTATCACCGATGGTGCCGGCGGCAACACAGTCACCTACCCAAACAAGGCGAAGCCAGACAGAAAACAATCAGGCATAATGGGAGCTCGGTGAGGCGGCCAGATGCCGCATAAACAGGCAGAAATCGATCGGATGCCGAGAAACGAGCCCAGGAGCACAGCGAGAACAGGACGACCGACGGGAAGGCCCCGCTCAGAATAACGGCTCAAAATATCAGGGACCAAGAACCAACTCAACGAGAAGAAACCACCCAATTACACCGAAGAGCATAAAAGCAACTTGCTTCAATTAGGAGACAGCCTTTGTATGCCTCGGGGAGGATTTCAAATTTAGCTCCATTTTAGAAAAGCCCGTTAAGCAAGTTAAAAGCAAAAGGTAAAACATGAACGCCGCTAGAAGAAAACAAGGGCAAATATACTGTTTTTTTTTTAAAGGTTTTTGCCATAGGGTGCATGTGCGAGAGAGAGAAGAGAGAGACAGAGGGAGAGAGAGAGGAGAGAGAGAGGTAAAGTGAGAAATCACTCCCTCGGGGGATGGCCACACAGCAGTCCCTTCTCCTCTGTTCTCCTCCTGGAATTTTGGACACGCACGCATGCCCAGTGTGATTTTCAAGCTGCCAGGTCTGGGAGTCAAACTGTGGTTGGTCACATGGGTGGTCTAGCACCTTAACCGTTACGCCACCAAATACACTTTTTATCTCTGCCGATGTGCCTCGTCTGCCTCTGCCTTTAGAATACAGGTTCCCTGGGGTGGCCTCCCTCTCGTCCAGTGTCAGGCATGGCTTAGGTGTTGAAGCCACCTGTCTGGAAGGAGTAGATGAGCAGTTTCCACTCTGGGAAATGTTGTCTAAGTATGATGAACAAAACCATGATGAACAAAATCACAAATGTGTGAAAACATCAAAAGATCTGACAACATGGCACCAGCACGTGGCGTGGTGGTTAAGGCGTCAGACACTCCCGCATGGCTGACCATGGTTTGAGTCTGGTGGCTTGCTTTCTCACTTTTCCTCTCTCTGTATGTCTCTCTGTGGTCAAATTAAAATAAATGAATGAATAAATAAAATTAAATAAATCTTTTTAAAAAAAAGAAAAAAACTCAACTTCTGTATGTCAAAAAAAAAAAAAAAACGGCAAATTAAGAGTAAACACTACCCTGGGGGAAAATTGTAAGACTTGATGAGAAAAAGCTGAATATCTTTAATATAAAAAGAGAACAGCACTAATCAATAAGAAAACACGCTCTCTCAAATGGCACCTGATCAGTGACCCGTAGTCGGAGTCATGAAAGGCAGGCGCTCCCACAGCACCCAGCCCAGGCCTCAGTGCAGCCTTTGCTACTGCTCAGAGCCCGTCCACACAGCGGCTCCTCCCCATCAGCGAGCCCCCTGCCACATCTGGCGTTCCGGAGGACACCAGAGCACTGGGGCCCTCCTACCGAGGGAATCTCCTCCTCACACGACGCCCTCCCTGGGCACACATGGCTCCCTACCAGCCACTCTGCCGCCTGCTCCTGGCTTGGTCTCTGCTCCTAGCTTGGCCTGCCTGACCTCTTCTGCCAAGAGTTGGAGTCTCCCTCCCCACTCCCTTCTTCCTCCTCTTTGCCAAAACCAACTCTCCCTCTCCCACCAGGGCTGAGATGCTTCCACTGTTCCCGCAGTCACACCCCTGACAATTTCCCCATTCAAGAAAGCGAATCATCAAATGCCTCATGTCATCTGAGCATGAAGCCTGGGAGAAGGCTGGGTTCTCTTTTCAAATTGAAGGGGAAGGACCCAGCAAGATACTAAGTATGTGCTTAGTGATACGAACCACAGGGACGAGGACTGCAACAGCCAATGCCACCGGGCACGTTATGTTCATTAGTCTCTGTCCAGCTCGGCCCTCCTGAAGACGGTGACAGCGCTGACAGCAGCACCTCCACGGTGCCTGCTAGGAGCCAGGCGTGGTGCCAACGTACACTAACTCGTACCATCCCACAACCGGCCGCTGTGGTAAGGGCCCTGACCGTCCCCATCCCGGAGACGAGGGACTGAGACTCAGAGAGGCTGAGCAATTGCACAGCGCCCCGGAGCCACCAGCTTGCTGGTGGGCTCTCAGTAAAAGTTGACTTTCTGAAGGAGAGAGGTGAGGAGGGCGCTCAGAGAGCATGTGCAGCTGCAAGCACAACACGGTTTCTTTTTCTTCAGCTCCACGATCCTACACAGGTCTTTATCGTGAGCCCTTACACTATAAAGACAACCCAGTCGTCTTCATATGTGCTCAATAGTCGGCTTAGAAAGTCATGAGAAAAATGACGGGTGAACAAGTGGGCAGACAGACACAGGACATCCTGACCATTCCTACCTCCCCAGCCGTGCAGAAGCCCAGAGTCAACTGAGGGGCTCCCGTGAGCCACACGGAACACTCACGTCTGCATTCCTAGGTTCTAACTTTCTTCCAGTCTAGACCACACCACTGAGCGGCATTCCCTGGGTGTACAGAGTCAGTGGTTTTACTGCCGCTTGTCTTTGCTAGTAGGTGTTTCTGAGTGTTACCACAAAGCTCCCCAAGAATGAACACACAAGTGAGCAAGCAAAAAGGTGCAAGCGGGCGTGGGGGCCTCGGCGGCACACACCTGCAGCAGCAGCAGCTGGGCTGGCCTCTCGGGGATGGACGTCATGAACTCCAGGTGCTTGGCCCGGTCGAACCCACTGGTGCACAAGGTGGGGCGGAGCAGATGCACCACTGCCTTGTAGTCGCCGGCCTCGTACAGCCGCTGAATCTCCTCCAGGGACTGGCACCGCTCCAGCGACTTCAGGTTCTTATCGATCTGGAAAAGGCCCGGAAAGGCTGCCTGATGGCAAAGCCCTCACAACCCCCAGCCCCGTATCTGGCGGGCTTTGCATCTATCAGACCCGATGAGGAGGATGGAAAATTAAGACTGCCTTTAATAGATCAGTGTTGACAGATTTTAAAGTATCTCTATTAAAGCTAAGGCATTTAATTCTTTTGAAAACAAATACCCTCAAAAAACAGAACTACCCCAAAAGAAGGGTTCCAGAAAAGCATCCATTTTAAAATAGGTGAAAAGCCTGGGTTGCTTTTGAATGAAACAAACTCACGTGGGCTGTCAGGGTCTCAGTGAGCCTGGGCCGGAGGGTGGTGCATGCTACAGACCACAGAACCCTGCTCTCACATGGGTCCTGGGACACACTGGCACACAAGCAGCAGGGCATGGCACCTGAATTTGCCCTGGAACAACTCTGAAAGAGCCACTTATATATACTGAAGAACACTTTTAGCAAACATAGACACGTCACGAACTCAGAACTGCAGCGGCGTCCAGGGCTGTGCAATAATGGTGCCATGCAGGTGAGGTCCAGTACATGTGCCAGGACCGCTGACCTAGGCCCGCAGCCAGACCAGCACCGGTCCACTCAGCTGACATTCCCTTGGACTCTGCGGGGCTGCCACCACCTGTGGCCAGGAGAACTGAGCAGTAGCCACTCCTAAGTCCTGCTGGCCAGAGCTTCCCTCCGCGCTGTGTGGATGAGCATGCCACAGGGGAATGTGCCACCGGGGCCGTCTGCAAAGCCTGGTACACCGGGCTGCCTCTGCCAGCCTCTCCTGCCCGCCCTCCAGGGGCCCTGCCCAGCATGTAGGCGGCTCTCTTGCTCCTCAGGGACAGGTCACGCCCGATCTAAGAGGGCCAATGGAGAATAATCCTTTGACCAGGAAAACACCAGAGAGCTCCTACTCACCTCCTCCAGGGAGACGACGGAGTCGTTGTGGAGGTTGGGCAGGCAGATGACAATGCCCCTGGGCTCGGTGCCGGCCTCGCCCTGCGTGGCAGGGGAGCTCTGGAGCACCTCGGTGCAGACGTCGTAGTTCTCCAGGGCCTGCTCCATGTCCCCCTGGTCAGAGGGAGCCAGGTCAGGGCCGGCGCAGCGGCAGAGGTCTCACTGCTGCGCCCGGGGCCCACATTTCGCACCTCACTCGGTCGCGGGCGCTGTCGAGGGAGGATTATTTCCCAGTTACTGCTACTCCCCCTAAAAAGGACCAGGCACGAGGCTGGGCTCAACCTGCAGTTTCTGAATGAGTGAGTGAGTGAATACATGATCCACACCCGAGGGGGTGCCGTAAGCCCCCCGGGAAAGGTGCAGTATCTGGCAGAACCAGGGTTAGAACCTAGGCCTGTCCCGACTCAGAACCGATGTTTTCCACATTAAACTATGTTCCTTCCCTCAGGCTGAACGACTGCTGATGGGACACTGGCAACCTGACTCACACTCTCACAGCATGCCAGGACCACCATGTCCAAGGTGCTGGGGAACAGCCGATCCGCCCGAACCCTAACCCTAACCCTAACCCTACCTCACCCTCCCACAGCCAGCCACAGCACGCCAGGACCACCATGTCCAAGGTGCTGGGGAACAGCCGATCCACCCTAACCCTAACCCTAACTCTTCCCGCAGGACCCACCATGTCCAGGGGGCGGGGGCCCAGCCGATCCGCCCGAACCCTAACCCTAACCCTAACCCTAACCCTGACTCACACTCCCACAGCACGCCAGGACCACCATGTCCAAGGTGCTGGGGAACAGCCGATCCACCCTAACCCTAACCCTAACTCTTCCAGGCCAGGCTCTGAGGAGATGCATCTCACAAAGTAAGTGGTGCACCACCTGCTAGAAAGCGCTGCATTTGCTCATGCACTCGCTCAGTCTCTCAGGAAAACAACAAAGGCAACCTCGAGTGGGAGGCTTTTGGGGGCATGGACAAGCCCTTCCAAGGCTCTGTGGTTATGTTGGGATGCTTTATAGGCTGGTGGCCATGCCTGGATTCCCAAGACTCGGTTCCCCACACCTCCCACGTCCTCACACCACAGAGCCAGGCAGGGGCAGTGCATGCTCACGTGCGCACACACACTTGCACGCACGCCTCCCCGTCACGCCAGGCATGCTTCTCCCGCACTGGGCATGGAACCAACCTGCAATGCCAGGAAGCGGGCCTTCAGCCAGTAAACACGGACCACGAACTCCAGCCAGCCATCCTCAAACAAGTCGCGCTGAGACGAGGCGAAGGACAGCTGCAGGAGGTCACCCAGGCAGTGGGTTCCCGGGAAGTCGGGCCCAAACCTGCCATTCACCACACCAGTGGGGCAGTTCCGAGGAGACACTGAAAACCATCAGGCTGATCAGTCAACTTCACGCAGTGTCCACGTGCCCTTCTGCTTCTGGGAGGCCCCTCCGCCCTCACCACACCTGCCCTTACAGCCCCCAGTGGCAGACATCAGGGAGGTCAGGCCAGTCAGGCAGAGATGCAGACGGCCTGGGCACAGACGGACCCTAACTGTGCGGACGGTGCTCGGAGGACCTCTGCATCCCGCCAGGTGGTAGTTTAAACATCGGAACCATCATGGCATCTGGGAAAGCTACTTGGGACACTTGAAGTACCGGGCAGCCTCTCTAAAGCTGAGGTCCCACTCCCTTCAACAGCAGGCCGGTGGCGCCCTGTGGGGGCTCAGCTGCTGCCGGCCACTGCCCAAGTGTCCGGGACACTTCTCACGGCCTTGGGACGTTGCCTGGGACCCTAACAAGCCAATTCAGAAAATGCGCCCACTGCAGATCAAAGTCTGAACCTATGGCTCGGCCTCCCCCTCCGGCTTCCTCCAGGCTGCCGTGGAGTCAGAAAACTACCCTGCTGCAGAGCGCGGGATGCCTCCTACCTGCAGAGCCTCTGCCTCTGGTCAGCAGCCACTGGTCCAGCTGCAGCTCCATGCAGGACAGGGACATCAGCATCATGTCCTGCAGGAAGGCCAGGAGTAAGGGCACGGAGACTCATCAGTGCAGGGGCAGGACTGGGGAGACACTAGACTACATTTTACTTCTGGATAAAAATATCATTATGGGGGGTCAGCCCACAGCCTGGTGATGAAAGGAGCCGCATACCACATGGCTGACCATAGTTCAGGCACCAGCCCTGGTGGCTTGAAAAATACATTGGGCATGTGTGTACCATCCCAACAGGATGGAGAACGGAGAAGTGACTGTGGCATGGCCATGCCCCCCTGGGGAGGTGCTCTCTCCTTTCTCTCTCTCTCTGTGGCAAGCATATGTGTCCTCCGGCAAATACAACATATACACATACGTGACTCTTTAGCATAGGAGCAATGCACTGGACCTGCATGGGACGGTCCCAGGTGAGGTCTTACTGAGCACGCAAGGTGTGCGCATACGTGTGCCTGTCCCCTGGGCTGGCTGAGGCTGGGGGTGGATCATGATGTGAAGACACTGGTAAGGTGTCTCTCTGCCCCTCATGGAAGAAATAAATCTTTTTTAAAATTTACTATAACCAGCAGTTAGCATAATGGCTATGTCATTGGACTCCCATGTAGTTGATTGCGGTTTGAGTCCAGGACCCTGTGGCTTAAACTCACACTGGGCACATATGCGTGTGTACCCAAGATCCCGAGAGGAGAATGGAGGAGAAGGGATTGCGGCATGACCATCCCCCTGGGAGGTGATTTCTCGCTTTCTGTCTCTGTGTCTCTCTCTCTTTCTGGAGAGCACACGCGCCCTATAGCAAAACCTCTCCAGAAATATAGAAATAAATAAATAAAATGTACTATAAACAAAAAAGCAAATAGATAAAATTTACCATAAGGTACATGCACTTGCCAGAGAGAGAGAGGAAGAGAGAGAAAGCACCTTTCGAGAGGGACAACCACACTACAATCCCTTCCTCCATTCTCCTGAGAGAGAGACAGGATGAGAGGAGAAAGCACCCCTGCTAGAGCCAGGACTCAAACCACAGTCAGCCATGTAGGACCCCTCGCCCTTGACCACTAGGCTATAGGACAAACCCATGAAGTGTGTCTTCTGGTGAGAAGCAAAGCCTTCAAACGCACCCAGACCTTCCCTTCTCCAAGCCCTCCTGGGAAACTCTCCTCCTCCTTGGTAAACAGCTGATGACTCTCACCCTTCACGCCCACTCTTCCCATCAGAAGAACCTCCCCCACGGCAGCTGTCAGCGCTCACTAACGGGTGGCAGCCTCCTAACGGCCCCTGCCCACTCAGCCACCGGGGGTCTTTCTAGGCATGAACCAGGTCCTGCAACCTCTGCTCCCTCCTTCCCCGGCGGCCCAGCTCTAGGCCCACCGTAGCTACCCCTGAGCGGGCGAACCACACGAGAGGCCGACCTTGATGTGCTGGTTGCTGCAGTCCCTCAGCAGCGGGTTGGGCAGGCTGGTGCTGTGCCTCCTCCAGCTGTGGTAGACGCTGAGCACGACCTCCGCCAGCCCCGGCGGCCAGCGCAGCAGGAACTTGTGGCCCATGCCCTTCAGGTAGCGCATCATCAGCTCCAGGATGCCCCCGTTGGTCAGGTTCTCCAGCAGGAACTCGTGCACGTCCTGCTTCTCTGCTCGGGGGGAGAACAGCCTGGCCTGAATGAAGGAGGCCTTACCTGTCGGGGCTCCCACTGCCTTGAGAAATGAGCGCCCGTGACCTTCCTCCACACCCGGTCCCGCAGACATGGCCCCACGCTGCGGTGCTGAGATCAGGCTGCCGTGCGAATGCCTGGCTCCAGCTCTCGCCACCTGTCAGCAGGCCTCCTGAATCACTGTCTGAGGTGGGTGTCAACAAGGCTCCCCTCCGGGTGCTGCTGTGTGCACCAAGTGCGATCATGCACAACACAGGGGCCGGCAGGTGGCACAGTGGCTAAGAGACAGGACTCCCATGTGGCAAACTGCAATTCGAGTCTCAGACCAGAGGGCTTGAAACTCACGCCAGGCCTATCTGCACACATGCCCAAATTCCCGAGAGGAGAATGGAGGAGAAGGGATCATGGCGTGGCCATCCCACCTCAAGGGGGTGACTTCTCATTTTCTGTTTCTCTGTCTGTCTCTTCCGTGAGCACACGTGCCCTATTACAAAAATCTCTAAAGACAATCCACAGAGCGGTGTCTGACACACAATGCACATTCGACAGTGGTGGTTACACGTTCAGCTTGCAAAGCCAGGCCTGACAGGGCCGTAAGCGCACGGCCTCGGGGAGCACAGCACGTGAGCCTGGGCATTTCAGTAGACCCCGGCTGGACCTGGGCTCAGGCCAAGACAAATCCAGGAAGCTCCCTGACCGCACTTGAAAAGAAAGCCCAGAACCACCCTCCCAGAACGACATGTGAGCAGGTTACAGGGGATGGGGAGCGGTCCCCACAGTGAAGTCATGCTGCTCCATTCCTACCCGATTCCATGAATGTGGCCGAGTCAAACGACAGCCTGTGGGGCCCGATGCTCGGGAAGCTTTCCAGTTTGGCCTCGGACTGGACTTCGTAGTTATTGAAGGGGTCATCTTCCTCCTCGGGGTCCAGCTTTCTCAGCCTATGTGAAACACACTAGCATCACAAAAGCCGCACCTGCGTTCTTCCGTAAGACCCGAATTCCTTCCACTCGAGAAACTAGGCATGAGCCAGGGAGACGGCCAAGACGACTGGGCGGCAGGGCCCTGGAGCCCAGGCCCCAGGCTCCGCCTCTCTCCAGGGCTGTGTGGTGGGTGCCTGGTCTGCACTCTCACTCACTCGTTCTATCAACACGAGCAGCAGCCACCTTCCAGCCCTGTACAAGGTAAAAGAATGCCACAGCCAAAGTGCAGCAGAGCCTCCCTGCAGGACACGTACCTTCCGATGGGAGACAGAGAAGCAGGGACACGAAAGCCAGTAACCCACATGAGGACCCACTACCACAGTGCCCGAGACAGTCACAAGGGCCCACCCTCCAGACCAATCAGAGAAGGCCTTCAGAGAGATGATGGCCCTGCTCACACTGGGGGAGGTGGGTCATGCAAAGTCTGCAAAGCCACAGGACAAGAGCGGGTACTATGGCATAAGCCAGAAGGGCACCAGCGAGTTCCAGGGTCTCGGGGAGGCCAGAGAGCAAGCTGACAGTGGATGGACAGGTGGGATGTGGGAGACTCAGGCCCGCATGCGCTTGCTCCTTCCATGAGTCTAGCCCAGCACTGGGACTGGGGGGCTCTCCCCACAGGCCTCCCAAACTCCTCTCACAGACTGTTCTGGTCGTGCTCACGGCCTCCTCCCAGCGCAGCATCCCTGCAGCGTAAATACCCAGAACACTGACGAATGTCTGCAGTCACTTAGGACACGGACCCGCCCTGGAGGGATTTCGTGGGCATGCTATCACATTGTTCTTGCCCGACCATTAGAAGGAATGGACTCTGAGCCACAGAGAAAACCATAAAAGTAAACAAGAAAGTAGAAACCACTGCACATAAAAGGGGCGAGGGAACGAGACCTTGGGGTAGGACAGCAGGGCCAAGGGGACCTCTCGGTGTCAATCCAAGCACCGTCCTGAAGCTCCTCTGAAGGGAGACCTGGTGCTATCCCTTAGGAGAGGGAAGGGGAGTGTCACGAAGCCCAGCACAGGTATGGTAAACCTGGGACAGCTTGGGAATTATGGGTCCCAAAGCCTCTGAAGGGGACAAGGACAAAGAACAAGAGGGTTGGTGACAATTGAGGTAAGGAGCACTGGGGTCCAGATCCCACCCAGCTCTGAGAAGCATGGCACCTTCCCTCTCTGAGGAACAAGAGGGGCCAGTCAGTGACACCAAGGGACGCCGTGCGAGCTCCTCCTCCGCCTTCCAGAATGCCAGGCAGCCTGCTGGGCCTGGAGAAGAGCGAGCAGGCACGTGCCCGGAAGAAGGGAAGCACCCTCTGTGGGTTTCATGGGCATCTGCATATGGCGTGCGGCAGCCCCACGCCCAGCAGGAAGCAGCGACTGTGGGCGCACGGGGCTGTGAGCGCGTCACCTCTAGCTCCACAGCCCTCTGCCTGGTCGGTGCCCAGAAAGTACCTGGTCCCCCCAAAGATGAACAGGTCCAACTCCTGCCTTCAGGAAGTTCAGAGGCAGGGAGAGACAGGGAGAAACGAGAAAATTCCAAGCCCCAGTCTGGTGACCGCTGTGCTTCAGGGGTTTGCACAGAGGTTACGGGAAAGCAAACCAAGTGTCCGGAGGAGAGGGTGTAATGGGATGAGGATTGTCACTGGTGGCGCACAGGTTCGCTTGTTTGCAAGGCAGAAAAAGTATGCACGGTACCGGGACGGCAAGAACTTCACCAGAAGCTCCTGGAAGTCTACTTTCTCCTCCTTTTTGCACTTGGTGTTCCGGACACGCGCAGACCGCCGCTTTGCTGTCTCCCCACTCTCTTCCGAGATCTTCTTCCGCTTCACTCCTTTCTTGGATTTATCACCCCCAGACACGTCGCCTGCACAGAGAGAGCAAAGTAAAATCTTACGACGTGGCAGGGGTGAAAAAAGACACCATGCAGCCTCGCTGGCCACTCTCTTTGTAACTCGGCAGCATTAAACTCTTCTACATCTGGGAAATCCTTCGTCTCTTCTTCAACAACAGAGACCTGAGTAAAATTCATTTCTTAAACTCCTTAACTCTCGTTGCCATTCTTAAATTCCCAGAGCTCATAAGCCAGATCTCAAGATGACGTTCTGCAGTGGCAGAAGACCAGGGTCTCGGAACATGCCCATCCCCAACTCCCCACCGCTGGCTGCAGGCGCACCCTAGGGCTCACTCGATGTACGTGGGATAGACTGGCCCTACTCAGGGCCCCCTGAGCACCCAGCGGCAGAGTAAGAGACAGCGCTACATGAACTGTATGCGAGGCAGAGGATTTTCATGTATGATGAAGTCAAAAAGTCAGGAACGACCAGGTCCATGTTCATCCACAAGCTTTTTCCAGAGATTCGTTTTCTCAGTGACACAGAAATCAAGAAAAAGGCTTGAGAGTTTTGGTCAAAAAAATTTTTTTAGAAAGATTTTTGCTATAGGGTGTGTGTGCTCACCAGAGAGACAAGAGAGACACAGAGACAGAAAGCGAGAAATCACTCCTTCTTCATTCTCCTCTCAGGATTTGGGGCATGCATGTGCACGTGTCAGGCATGAGAATTTTAAGCCACCGGGCCTGGGACTTGAACTGCAGTTAACTACATGGGAGTCCGCAACGTAACCATTACGTCATCCACTCATCCCATTGGTCAAAATTTTTTTACAGACTCCAATGATAACAAAAATCAATGGAGCCACACAAAAGGCCCAGCCTAGTGTCGCAGACCATAGCACACTGCACTGTAGTGCTAAAAGCCGCATGCAACCACAGGTTCAGGCTCCCGGGTTAGCTGAAAAACACACCATGGAGCGGTGCGCGGAGCCCAAGATCCCGAGGAGCTGAAGGGCTGAAGAAAGGGAACTGCGGTGTATCGAGACCCTGCTGAAGGCTGTTCGCATGCCTTTCTTATGCACACGCGGTACCATAAAAGAAAAAAAAAATAGTATGAAAATACACTACCACGTAGGGTGATGGCTTGAACTGTTTTCTAAGTGCAGCGAATTCAGAAGCATGCAGCCAGCAAGGGAGAAGGACTGGCAGAGGATACCAGCCTGTGCACATGCCACAAGTAGTAAGGGCGACCATGATGCCGAGACTTGGCCGGGCATTAAGCTGTCCTGGAGTGAGGAGGTGGTGTCAAAGAGCGAGAGGATGCGCCAAGGCCTGCCCTCCGGGGGCTTCGGTGCTGACACGGCCCATCGCAAGCAGTGGTGCTGGGACCAGGCTGAGGCTCCTCTATGGGGCTGGGGGCTCCCACTGTCGCTCGGGCAATAAGGGTCAGCAGGACCCATTTCTCTGAGAGGCTAGGGTGCCCCAACTCATTCCTG